GGCGGGGAGTGAAGAAGGGATGGAGGGTGGCCTGTGGCTCAGCCAAGCAGCAGAAAGCGGTGAGCCACGACGCAAAACTGCGGCAAGTCCCCACCAGTGCTGGGCCCAGCTCTGTGACAAAGGAATGGCTCTGACCGTTGGCGACACCTTCACACACCTCTGTGCTGAAATATTACCCTGCAGAAGCCAACGCTAGCTGTAAAAACTGATTCTTTTGGCAAGAAATAGCAGGGATTAGCTGAGAAGTATGACTTAATCCACTCTGATTTCTCCTGGCAAACCTGACTATGCAATACCAGCAGGTGCACGGCACTTTTTTCCAGGGGCAGGGCAGTGATACGTGGTGGTTGAACGCGCGAGGAGCTGTATCACAAACAGTGGAAACAAGACACAAGCAATTAGATGACAAGCGATTTTATTTTGCAAAACAATCACTATACAGCAACAAATACAATTGCAAATCGGATTGAAAAACATGAACTACCTACCACCAGCCATTCAAGAAATGCCTCTTTTAGGGTAACAGGCTCTAGAATTATCAGAAAAAACAGGTTTGTAACAGCAGACTGTATTCCTTGACATCCCAGCATACAGCATGTTTATTTGTTGGCTTTTTCTCTTTGCTAAAGTTGAAGTGGCTTTTACACGCTTGACTTTTCCAAGTGTGAAACTAATTTACCTTCCTGCAGTGGGAATTGCTGGAGTTGCAGAGGGAGTTGCTTTAGCAATCTGACTAGCGAGTGAATTCGACACACACCTACGCTAGAAATCTACCTGCATCGATTTTCACAGCAAATGTGATCTACTCTTCAAGGCATTTGCCTTTGAAGGGACATTTGTACTTGGGTTTATGAACAGTATTTGGTCCAGCGTGGAAAAAACTTCTGCTCACATGTGGTAGTCCACACAGGATGCCTTTTGACTCCCTTTGGGTCGTGTATATAGGCAAACATAGATTTGTAAGCAGTCACGATGAGGTTCCTACTGTACCTTAGCAGAGCACTGAATGGATAATACCATTTACTGCTGTACAGTGAAAATATACATAAGCCCTTGTGGGCACACAATTTCCCTCATCATCAGTACTAGTTTTCCCTTCACTGTTGCTGGACAGAGGTTTGCTCAACTTTGATTTCTTTCAGCTTGTGGTTACATAGAAACAGAACTCTGCGGGTGGGGCAGAAGCACTTTTGTCTCTACAACTTGATGTATTATTAATTTGGGGCTCTCCCCTAGCTATCTAAACAAGGTTTCACCATTCCTTTTGTCTGGATTATCTCTGCTTTGTTACAGAGTTGGGTCTCAGGCACCCAACACACCTGCTGGCTCAACATGCCTGTGGAAAAGAAACACAACGGATGCAGTTTCCAGGAAGCTGGCTGTATCTTCTTTTAGTGGGCATTACATATTTACAAAACCGTTGTTTTTAAAACCAACACTCTTCTTGAGAAGTTAAGATTAATATGAGCTTTTTCAGTGAACATCTAGAGTCATGTAACAACTTTTTTTTTTATTATTTAACAGCACAAAACTCTTGATTTCTTTTCATCTAACTCCACAGCGTTCTAGGATTCTTTCTATGGAAGGATGATTACGATTACAAAGGTCTTTGCTTGAATCAAGACAAGAAAGCTCATTTTAATGCATGAAATAAATGACTTGGTGTGTTACACCACTCTAATTTTGGACTCATAGGTGGATTAACTAAGTTTCATTTTCTAGAGTATGTCAATATTAAAAGCAGAATAAAAAAAACTTGAGTCATAGGTTAACACTGTTCTCACTAGCTGGTGTTCACCTTCAGAGAAGCTGAGGTTCAGTAGTACCATAGACTCTCTCCCACATTGGCAAAAGGCATAAAAAACCCAAAAAAACACTGCAAGGCTAATTTATATTAATTGATAGTATGTTCAGAGCAACGTGATATAAATACTGTCTTGTTTTTTCTGTCTACTGTTTTTCTGGAAAAATGGGAAGAGGCGTTCAATGCACCTCTCTTGACAGTGTTTCCATGTGAATTCTTAGGATTACTCTAAGCAAAAGTGTAACACAAGGCAGAAATCAGAATCCTCCAGATGCACTTATCACGGTTCTAAAATCACGGTCCTTTGTATAAAACAACCGACTTACAAACAGTATTAGGTACTCTATAGTGTGAAAAAGCTTTTTGCAGAGCTGAAATGTCATGTGTGTGGCTGTTAGGAGCTCACCTTCAGTAAAATTTTTAGAGATGGAACCATTTTGTTTTGTCTTTCTACTGCTGGGACAGCTTAGTCAAAATCCCCCTTTGGTCCACTGAATATTTACTGTCTAGTGACTGTGCGTTAACTACCTGAATTTAATGATGGGGAATCCTGTGCTATTAATTATTAGAATCCTTCTCCACAGACATAAAAAACTTCTCTATGAGTCTCTTCAGATCAAACCCCAACACACACACATACAAATTAAGAAGGAAAAAGAACAGATCAAAAGCTTCCAACACACAATGTTAACCTAATACATGTATCAAGTATAGCTCAACTGACAGTGCAAAGTTTAGTTAAGAGATTTCAAAAGGAAAAGATCAAAGAATCTGCAAGAATGTAAACTGGTCATTTCATAATGTCTACTGTACATATAGTATCAGCAGATTATTATCCGCTGATGAGTAATACTACCATATTACCTTCAGTGTTCTCTTAATGTCCGTAAGATAGTGTCAGAGTTTTTCACAGGTAACTCTGTTAGATTGGTTGTTTATATATCTCTGCCCTTTATCTTTTTTATGCACACGTTTTCTTATACTTTTTATAGTCAATATAATCCCACTTTGCTTAGACTTTAAGATGCCCTATTTACTGATGACTCGCTATGGCGACCCAGTCTAGGGAGCTCATTTTATTTATTCTTGTACTATAATTCACAGGCATCTCTGTTACGTTTATCACTGTTATCTGAGTGCCTGACTGTATACATAAGACATCACTGAAGGAGTGGAAACAACGTCTTAATACTTTTTTCTGTGTTTCAACTTTAGCAAAAGAAAAAAATAAATAAATCTAACATTCACTGTTACTACAGGAGTTAAAAAAAAAAAAAAAGAAAGAAAGAAAGAAAGAAAAGCCAGAACCAAACTACTATGGATTTTTTTAAAAATCCAGACTCCAAACTCAGCCATCTTTGGAGACCCTTTTACAAACGTCTGGACCCCACAAAAATCATACCTATGTGAAGAAAGGGAGGGAAGGGAAGCGGGAAGGGATCCTTTTTCTAGCATCACAGAAGAGACTTGCATCTGGCACTAAAACAGGGTCACGGCTTTTAGTTGTTACAGAAAGCAACTTCATGCTAAAATTTTCATCTTTTTTAAATGTATTCTTATGAATAGGGAAAAAAAAACCCTGCTAACATCTACTTTTACATACCTAAAATCGCAACACCAAAGGGTGCAAGAGACACAGATACTGTGAATAAAGAAGTAGAATATTCAAGTATATGAGGAGGGCATATCACAAATGGCCACAGAGAAATATATATATCTATAATACTGTATCAAACAGATGGAAAGGATGTGAAACCAGTGGTGCATACACAAATCTAGCCGCTTAACCAACTTTCTAATCAGACACAAGTCTGTTGGGGTGGAAGTGCTTGCTTTCAACAGCTTTTTTACGTCACTTCCCCAACCATGGTTCAAATGTTTTCAACTACTATTTTTAGTTATTAGTTAAATAATTTATCGGCTTTTCAGCTATACACTGACATAATTAACCAGGTCCAAAAAAATGTTAATAACTTAATTCAACTTTTGTTCTACTCATTTATACAAAATAACACCTTTTTTTTTTAATTAAACTTGAATTTCTCTATATGCCCTTCCTTCTGGTAAGCAGATTGTTAATTTAACCTGTAATAACTTACAATGGGCAACTTTTTTTATTTCCCCATCTATCAACAGAACAGTGAAATGAGCAACTTGGGATATTAACAAGGCTCTTCAGAAAGAGGTGGATGGCCTTCAGGCACATGAAAGGTAAAAATGCATTTTATCATAGTACGGTACTCCATGCAAGACAGAGCAGAGCAACAATAATTGTCCAATAACATACTGCAGTTGTATACCCATATAAAGCCAGTGTCCTCCTGTTGTAAATGGAAATCAGGCCAATTTCTGCATCTATTTAATTTTTTGTTGTTGTTGTTTTTAACTGTATGGTAACTACAAGTCTTGGGATGTGACTTAGTTTTAGACATGGTAAAGAATGAATGTAACACCTGCTCTGAGCCCATTCCTGCCAAGAGCTCATGCCTAAATATTATTACTTCATACAACGCGAAATGAGCAAATTCATAAGCCCTGCTTAGCAAGGGCTGCTGTGACATCTTCAGCGAGGGTAGCAAGCTGGGGCGATTCAAGCAGGTTGATGCTTCCAGAGGATGAGACGTTGCTGAGTCTGCGTGGGGAAGCCACGCTGGACCTGCCTGGTGACTGCGTGATGATCTCAGCCCCGTGATCGACACGGGCTTTAGCATGCTCTCTGAAGTTTAGCTTCTGGCTGTCAATCTGCTCCAGGAAAGCAAAGAATTTAACACATTATATATTCACCAAATTATCTCATTATAGATCATTTAGGTCTCATTTTGTTTACTTTTAAGAACTCTTACAAGGAGTGAAGTTTCTTCACTCCTTAGAATAATTGAAACTGAAGATTTTTTCACCTTGTTTAATATACATTGGCTTACTATGTTACATTCTCTTACTATTTCTGTGTCTGATGGATGCAGTAATGAGCAGTACCATTGTTCCTAGCTGTATGAATCTAACAGATTTTATGACCATTGCGATTTGTTTCTGAAATCTGTTTTTCAAATGCTTGCGGAGTAATCTTACTTTCAAGATGTCTTCCTCCTGTTTCACAAAGCAGTCCTCTGGGATACTGATACTACAAACTTACTAGATCATACCTATGCTGCATAATGATCCCAAACAAGATTTATCTTTAGGGGGAAAGCCAGTGCCCAAACTACAGGACGTTTCACTTTCAGATTCACTCTCAGCTCAGATGTGGTCACTCCAAAGGGAGCAAATAGCATTGCAAGTGTGCTTCAAGGAGAACAAACAGATGTTTCCTACCCAATTCACAGCTATTGCTGAATTTACAGCTCTAATAATTTCACTGGGCCAGGGGCACAGTAGTAGGTAGCCTTTTCTCCAATGGCTGTCCCCTTACCTTGACATTACCACCGCCAGGTACATGGTGGGCATTTTCCAGTGAACCAACTTTAGCCTGAGCTTTTTCTTTGAAATCCAGTTTCACGCTCTCAATTTTCACACGCCCACCTCCTACACAGACAAAGGAAATACAGATTGAGAGACAGGAATGACTCGGGAGAAAGTCTGACCTGACGCACATGGGTGCACTCACATTACTTCCCTTTTAGTTGAGATCTAATGGTTTTACAGAAGCACAGAATACCACACTGCATATTCAGTAAAATATAAAATCCTCAACACGCATTCAAACTGTAAGCAAGTGCTGCAGCCCTACTGATTTTCATGGGATTTAAGCACATGCTTAAGCATTTTGCTGACTTCAGTATCTTATCAAATTGACATTATGCCACAGCAGCATCCTTCTGCATTGTTTTTTTAATTGACTCTCTAAACTATGAGTCCCATACCTTTATGTCTGTATATCTTTAGTTAAGAATATTAGTTTTAGTAATAAAATATTTACTTTCTCTTGCACTATAAAAGAGAATGGTATGATCCATGATTTCTCCTTCACATAACAGAATTAGGTCTTTGCTTTGTCCCACATCCCAGAAATTCCTACAATACCTGGCTTATGGTGGATATTCTTGAGCGAGCCACACTTGGAAGTCACATGACTCAAGTCGATCTTCTTGGTTACAATTTGTACCTATCAAAAGCACACACACACAAAATTACAGGAATGAAAAGAATAATTAAAAGCCAAGCCCTGCAGAGGAAGAGCCCAAGCCTCTACAAACCACTGGAAAAGGAGAGATGGTTAGTAGAAAACAGACCACACCACAAAGGAGGAAACACCTGGATTAATACAGCAAGCTTCCTTCCCACCTAGGGAAATGCCAGAGCTAGGTTAAGCTCTACTATTAGCAAAATGAAGAGGAGGACAAAGCAGATCAGCTTGTGGGTTCTTTCTAAAATGTTTCCGAGCCTCCTCTCAGGGTAGATGCTCCGAAGCCCTGCATGCAGCAGGACCCATCCCATTTGCTTCTGCTCTTGAATGTGCATCCTGGCAACTAGGAATATTTTGGTGATTTTTTTTTTCCCCTCTACCATCTGTTTCATATTTTTCTGCATCTAAATATAGTGTGCATTTCAGCTCAATCCACTATGGAGAGTCTGATGAGCCTACAAATGTGACTCCTGCAGCTGTACCTGAGCTGGCTGGTGTTCAGCCAGCCAGCTTGGTGGTGCTAACTGCAGAGCAGCAGCATCGCTCTGCCCAGCCAGGCAGCAGCGCACGGACCCTCCCTCCTCCCACTGCTCTGTGCCCTGCTGCTGGCCACGTTGCCACGACTGCGCTGAGCCCAGCTCAGGAACAGCCACAGAGTGACACTCCTGCCTTGCTGCGCTCCCAGCTAGCACCCAGATGCGGCCTGCAATCACAGCAACTGTGTTAGCAGGTCTTAAGAAGCTGCAGCCCCTCCAAGCCAGACAAGAGCTCCAGGACGACTGCAATGCCAGTGGTTTGCTCACATCACCAGCAATGACTTAAGCCAGCACCAGTGGCTGTACTGAAACTGTTTGGATCAGATGTGCTCACACCATCAGCTCTTCCATCTGAGGGGTGATCATTTCCATCAGAGGGGTCAGAGCTGCCTTAAGCTATTCCAGCACGACTGTTAAAACTAACGTACGTCCAGTCATACCCTGAGCAACCTCAGTTTGTTACAATGGAATAATGCTGTGGCATTATCATTAGCACTCAGCATGCTGGCTTATCACACCCTCTTTCTCAGCTTTCTTTGTCCTTATGTTTTATTTTTCTTCTTCTTCCTGTCAGGTTAGCTAAGGAAGGACTGACACACTGGAAGATGCCCAGCTGTGAGGCTGGAGTCTCACTGTGAGATGGGAGTGTCTTTCTGAAAATGACTTTCTTGGGCAACTCCCATGAAAGGCGCTGAACCATTTTGGCTCACACTGGACTTTAACTGTCAGCACCCTTCGGCATTTAGAGATTACTCTTCATTTCTCATTTCCTTTTCCTGTCCAAGTTCTGGAAAAGTGTTGTGCTCTGTGGAGGAAGATCAGGAGGCCACCACTGCATACATAGGGCTCACATGACTACCCGACCAGACTCACATGTGAAACAGTAGCAAGAAGGAAAGTAGTGCTCAGAGGAAGGGAGACAGAAGGGGCCGGCTGTGCAAGGTGGGTCACCACAGTGGAGATGCCTGTTCACAGGGTGTCTGTACTACTTACATTTCCTCCCCCCGCAGAATGTTTGATGTTATCTCTGGAACCACACCGGGACTGAATATCGCTAAAATCGATCTTCTTGTTTAAAATCCTAACCTAAAAGGAATTGGAGGTAACTTACTATATACCATACACACACACTCCATCAGGGCGTCGGACAAGGGAGCCAGGGTAATTTTGCCTCCTGCTGTGACTGCTTCTTCTGACATTTGTATTAAAATGTGAGAAAGTAAACCATGCCAATCTCTATGCTTCGTATGTTAACGCAGCATATGTGAATGTACTATGCTGCTCTTTTTTCTACCTCACGAAGTGGTGGTGAAATACAAAGGGGAAAGTTTTTATATTGGGAGATAGGTGGCTTTTCCCTGAAAAGCTCAAAGAACTCCTTGCTTGCATGGACTGACATAGTTCTTGGACAGCCTGTCCTAGGCTCTCTTGAGTGACAGCCAGTGTTTCTGCTGAACTGGCCACAAGGAAAAGATGGAAAACCTCCTTCCCGCAGCTCAGCACTCCAGTCTTTGATGCAGAAATCCCAGATCCAGCCAGCTCAGGCATGAGTTGAAATTCTGAGGTATTTCACCCCTCCTGCCATCCAGCCATAACGGCAGCTACATTCATACAACAGACCTCAGAGTGTCCTGTGAAAAGGGACTGACAAAATTGAAGTCAGAGCTCTCTACTGCTCTCTTTACAGTTGTTTACTAACAAGCAATGCTGAAAACAACAGCATCTGGAAACCTACAGCTGCAATCACTTTTTCTTGATTTCTGGTAGTGGCCATAAAGTCACAACTTTCTGGTGCTAGCAGCACTGTGCTTCTCCTCTGTACTCTTTGCTTCCGACAGAACAAATACTCACCTTTCCCTTGATGGTGCCAGCCTCCCTTACAGATGCCAGGAGCCCACATTTTTTCTGTGTTATCTTAGCCATAGATGCACTACAGGCATAACACAGTGCCTGGAGGTGAACTCTGCAAAGGGCAGGCCAAGCTGTCCTGTGCTTGACCCCCACGTCAAAGCAGTTCCTCCACCTGGCAGAGCTCAGCTGCCACCAATGATTGTCCTCCCAGGGAATGATGTGCTGCAGGATGGCAGTTACCAGTAAACAGGGACAACTGGGTGCAGGGCACACACCTGAGTGACACCACTTCCAGACTTCTTTCTGAGCAAGGGCAGGGGATTGTGGTCACTAGTGTTAGGCTTTTCAGGTGTGTGGGAAGGCACTTCTGGCCAAGGATGCACCTGCTGCCTTTGCACCAGGAACTTTTACTTAGAGTGCCACCCATGCAGCATACTCTTTCTCTGGGTTAAATATGAAGTCTTTATTCAAATTTTATGTTGGATTTTATTTACCTCTACTTTATTAATATACAACATGAATTTACAGAAAGCCACAGAATTTTGGGCATTATTTATTCATTTTGCTAAATGGCACTTGTAGAGCCTTCACTGAGATACTACTTAGAACAGTCCTGTTGGCTGCTGTTGTAGGTAAACCTACAGTAACTGTCCGATACTGAGATAAGAGAGAGGGACAGATACACCAGGGTACCTTATTGTGGCTTCTTACCACTTCAGGAACATAAAGCAGCTGCAAACCAGTTGGAGTGGTCAGTGGGAGGAAAAACAACCCCGTGCAGTTTCTGCTTCCTGGCTGCAGGTCCTCAGACTTCCCTGATAAATCTGAGACAAATCAGTCTCTCTGTGCCTCACCTTTCCAAACTAGGAAAAGACTATTTGCACCCTGTAAGGGATATCAGATTTTGCAGCTCTTTGCTCCTGTGGCATTGGATAGCGTCATGTCTAGATAACAAGTCGAATCCTCTGGCACTGAGCACCTGGAATGCACTCCTGACTTAAGCCCAGTAAACTCTGAAGAAGAAATTTTCAGAGGCACACCTTGCAGCTAATGTGAAGAACTTGCTTCTTCACAGCAAGCTCTTTTATGGATCCCCCTCATTACATGTAACATAACCACTACATCAGTCAAACCATTAGGATGTTAAGTGTTCTCTCACTTTAATTGGTAAAGATCTGTGGTGATGGCATGCTCAGCAACAAGGGTGATGGCGGCACCAGAAAACTCCACAACTAGTAGGTCACCTTCAGAAGGCCATCTTCAGCAGGCAAACCGTTTTCTGTCTATCTGCTTAATCTGTCTAAGTAAGCCAATGTAGACTGAAACATGAAAGCAAATGCCTTTGGAGTCTTACGCTTGTGCTTTCTCTCAATGTACTATTTGTTTAAAAATGTACCCCAGTACCATACAAGACAGGTGTCACATCAGTTACAGAAACACACATCAGATGTGCAGTCAGATCTGGCTCCCAGAGAGCTTCAGGCCAGGCACAACTGGGCAAAACAGAAAGCCTTCCTAGCACTTTCTGAGCACATCTCTCTCAGCAATGGATCAGCAGCACCTCTTAGCAATGGCCACAGGGATGCATTTGCTCTGAAAATGCTGACTTAGGGGTTATGACAAGACCTCAGCACTGTGGACCGGGAGCCTGTAGCTTAAAATGGAGCCAAAGCAAGGTGGTAAGTTGAGAGGGTGCCTTTGATCAAGTGCCTTAAGGTTGATTTGCACCTGGAAGTCTGACAGTTTATGAGTCTCATGGCCCATGGACCTGGCTAGCAGATATGTAAAGGACCAATCATGTCAATTATCCTCTCTGTCTCACTGGGTGAAATGTGCCCCCGTGTAGAGAGGCCAGCAGGAGACCTATGTATCACTTATGTCCTATGCTAAGGGCTGAAGTGAGCTGAGTGATGTGGATGTGTTGTGCTGGTCATCTGGCACAGGGAGGAACTGCACTGATCCAGGTTTTCCCTGATGATCTGTTTCTCCCTTTCCTGGAATATATCAATATCCCTGCACATGTATAAATCATGACTGCCCTCTATAACTAAGCGTTCCACAAACTAACAGAGCCTTGTTTCCTATAGATTAAGGCTTTAAACTGCTTAATCCCTCCATCCTATATTCTTCAGCAAGCCCCATCCTCTCTTGCCAAGCAATTATCTCCCAAGCTTTCTCCCAGGTCTGTTAGACTGGACAAATAGAAGCCAATATACAACCGGTCAGCTGTTTGTTGTCTGTGATTGTGGAGAAGGGCTGAGTTATAACTGCCTTTACCCCAACGACAGTGTTATACTGAGTCTCAGTTTTGTACCCAGTCAACAGCTACCACCCAACTGGGAGGGGCCGCCTGTGTTTCTAACCACTGCTCCCTTGCCAGCACTGCTTGAAATGGGCCAACAAGTTACAAATGAGTTGAGGAAGGCTGAGACTGCCAGCCAGACAGCATGACTGCTGGAGCTTTGTTTCCTTTGAGAAATCAGACTGTAAACATGAGAGGGAGAGTACCAGAGAAGGACAGGAACTATTTAGGCTAAAGAGAAACTTTGGCTTGCAAACAAAGAATGTAAACTGACTGTGAATTATTTGAAGCTGGAATCTAGAGGGAAATTTGTAACTATCAGAGCAGGGAGGCTCTGGAACTGCCTCCCAAGGGAACAAAGCTCTGACAAGAAAATGGTAAACTTTTATGATGGCACTTGATGAAAGGAGTTAGATGATGCAGCTGCCTGTGATAGAGACAGCATGAATACCATGACTCACCAGTAAGGTCTCCATGTTCCTTAATGTGTATGTACATCTTGTGTGGGGGTGGAGGTGTGGTAAGGATGTAGATACATGCACTTCAATTGCGCTGCACATTAAATGAAAGATCAAGCCTGCTCCTGCTCTCATTCAGGAAATGGAACATTTTAGTCTGTGGCAGAAACAGGACTGCTTTCTATTCACACTCACTAAACATCCTAACAAGATAAATCTCCTGACAGACTCTCTCATAACCCTTGTGCTGACCTGCCAGTCTGAAATGGGTACCTTCTCTTCTGATCTGATGCTGGTTTGCCCAGGTATGCTGGGCAGGGCCTGGAAGTTAGTATTTTCATCAGGACCAAGCTGAGCTTCCTCTGCATTTGTCAGATCCACATGAAGTTAAACCACTGTGGAAATATTAAGCCTTACAGACAATGCTGGGTTTATTCCACAAAACCACATTGCCCAAAGCAAAACTGGCTTCTGTCTGAAGCCCTGACAGACCTTACCTTGTCTCTGTCCTCTGATTACTCCTCAGCAATGGTCCAGAATTGAAGCCCAGGGCGGTCTGTGTGCCAAGGTGCACACAGCATAGCCTCACTGACTCACACTACTTGCAGGAATCAGACACTGTGTTCCAGTACCTTCTAGGCTGTTTGAATGCTATCTGTCAAAGTAGTGGAAGATGCAGGGCATGAGAGACTGCTAGGAAACCAGGTGTTGAAGGTATTTTTCTCAAGAGTTCATTTAGATGAGGCATATATTGATCTGCATACAGGAGGCTAAACTAACTCCCCTCCTACATACAGTGGCCCAACTGGCAATCTAAACAGGAAGGGGTTGTGGTCCAAGGGCAACATCTACACTGGACCAGAGAGGATGTTTTTTTGTTAAGCTGGATGACATGAGGAGAAGAAACAGGCTAGCAATACCTGTGAATCTCCCAGTTAGATATATGCTGCCCTAAGGCTTTTCACAGGAAGTGAATTTGGATTCCTGGATTTCAAAGTCTCTATATACAACAGTCTCCAGTCCAGGGGCCTTGGGCAGCCCCTCCTCTGTCAGTACCGCACCACTAGGTTCAAGATGAGCACAAATTTGTAGAAACACTGAGTGAAGGCAGTGAAATGCAAGAGAATTTAGCTCAGTTGAGCCTCACACCTAAAGACAGTATCAATGACTGAAAACTGCTTATGAAAGAATTATGTTCCACTACTGCCTAGAATCATTCAGTTCAGCTGCTTTTTCACAAAAGGGAAAGCCCCTAATGTCAGCATCTGGGCAGAGAATCCATAAACAGCTTCCCTCCCGTGGCTTAGTACACTGGTACACACCAAACCAAAGACACTTGAAGAACAAAAGTTGTGATGCTGATGAAATTACAAGCTCTGAATATAATTTCCAAGAAGCTGATGATTTATGTTCTCCCTGCCTTGCAATTATGGCCTCTGAGAAGCTCTACCACAAACACCACGCCTAAAGCATTT